CAGACACGCAGACACGCAGACACGCAGACACGCAGACACGCAGACACGCAGACACGCAGACATATATACATATATATACACCGAATCCCTAAATTCTTTGACAATTTAGCGAGATATATACATACATATATATCCTTCCAATCGGTCTTTCCTGAATTTTCAAGAAAGACAAAAAGAAAAAGTGGGATACATATATCTCATGGGGAAATAAAGTCGGCTTTTCAAACCTCAATGATTTTGTATTGTCTAACTACTCTATTTACTGTAGAAAGAGAGATACTCAAGGTTCTCGCAATTGATTGTGAAGATTTGTTGTAGCCAAATTTAGATAAAACAATGCGCCATCTTAAGTATTTGCTGTAGACAATAATTGATTGAAGAAAAAACTCTCGATGTAACGACAGATCAGTCGATCAACTCATAACGAATGTTGCTTTTTTTAAAAAAGCATTAACGAAACTAAAGTGCAATTGAAATATTTAGATGAATAGTTGACAGTGAGACAAAGACCCAAATCAGTCATTGAGGTTTCAAGATCCGACTTTAAACGATCAACCGGATATACTAATCCAGGCAAGACAAAAGAAAAATGCAGACATATATATATATAAGTATATATATCCGATAAGTGTCAAAATTTTTGAGAGTACATGAAAGGCCTCCCTCGTTAAAAGTACCCTATCAAAGTTATTCTGTGCAACAATACGTTCAATTGCAATTAATTCAAAGTCAAATAAAATGAATGACAACAGTCTCAAGTCTTTTTGTTGGTTTTCATAGCTGACTTGTGTTTTTGAAGGCTAACTTTAAACACATTTCTAGTTGACCCCACATACCGCAGGAAACACTTCTTACATGTAATTAAATAGTGACATCATTAGAAGTGCAAGAAATTTGTGGCTTGATAAATGTAGAATCTGCCAGTAGCAGTACTAGCAATCCTAGGTGATTCACACTCATTCTCAGTTAAAGGGCACAATTAGGGATTACGTTTCCCAGCACCGCATCTGCTACTCAGATTGTTTTTCTATCTTGCTTTAGTAAGTTTTTGCAAAAGGGGGACAAGTACAAAAACGCGCAACAACAAGTACCAGTAAATTACAACATTTACTACCTTTTTCATATGATAAATAGCCTAAAATTCTGTTCTCCAGTCAAGTAACACATAAATCTTGATATTTGAACGGTGCGTTCGAGTTATATTGATGCAATGTTTATCCCAATTTAGAAAATAAGATAAATGAGCTTTACAATAAACTCATTACCTGTACCTTTGTAGGCAGTTGAGATATTTTTTACTCTCTACCAAACTTTCCAAACTTTCTGACTAATTTCCGTTACCGGTATTTGAGTAGCCAGTGGCAAAATTGTCACATCATTGACATTGTTACTTGTGAAGTTGCCATTCATTTTAATGCTAGCTAGCATTCTTTCGAGGACTTTGAATTCATTGCATTTAAACGTATTGTTACTTTTTAGACCTATAACTATCTAATATATATTTAATGATATCTAATTGGGCTCAAATAACATTTTTTTATATTCTTTACTTATAAGACATCTCAAAAAACATTATTATTCGAAATATGAATGAACGGGTTTCGTACAGAGTTTTTTTCTTCATGTTCTTGCATCTATTAGGTAATCTAATTAATCTAATGTATATACAGTCAATTCAAAAAAGGTTGTTGTCGACCGGCTCAAGCCTACGCGACTGGACCGAAAGGAATATGGGTAAAAATCACTGAAGCGGTTAAATATTCGTTCTAAATTGATTGTTCCCGCTAGTAATACGATGTTAATGGCAAGTAGCAATCCATCAAATGCATGTCTTTGGGTTTAGGGAAAGAAAAACAAAGAAGTTATGATTCAGTTCACAATTTCGAAAATATGAAGGCATTAAAAAAGCGTCTCCTTTGACACTTCCGGCTCGCCTACGAAGGTTCGTGTTAAAAACTAGACATAACTAGTCAGATAAAATTATTGAGTCAACTCGGCTTCAATGATTGATATCCAGAGTTCCTTTCGTTCCAGTCGCGTAAGCTTGAGTTGGTCGACGCCAATATTTTTTGAATTGACTGTATGTATAATCGACACTACAACCTTTCTGAATCGAGCGTAATATCATTTTTAAGCTGTGACGTATCCAGCTGCAACTGCTCCCAAAATTCGCCAAAACAATTTACGATTCTTAAAACTCCAGTGTATGCTACAATTTTTATGATATTTATATAGCGCCCGGTATATGGATATAATCAAAGGCTCTTTACATTGAGTTGTGAATGACAGATTGTTTTTATGCAATTTACAATCATGGGAATAACTTTCTGCGATCGAGTGTATATATATATATCAACATCCGAATGGACTTAACAGTGACTTTAGTTTTATATAAGTATCAGTCTCTTTCCTTTATTGCTTTTTCCTTTTAATTTATTATTTATTTTATCATCATTCTTATCATCATATTGTTCGTTTATATTTCAGTTATTCCCCGCATGCGCGACTTTTCTTTTCTTTTCAAATTCTCCCCACCAACATCTGCTTGCCCACACTGATGAAGAGACACACGTCTCGAAATATCTAATTAAAAACAGTTCATCAGTGGTAAACGTACAATATGACTATAAAAAAATATATTTAGTATTTCTACACAAGTGAATATAGTAAATCCGGCGCGCTCATTGGTTACAAGTTACGTCAGTCTTATGCTGCTATAGTCTATCGCTCGTTTGTCAATTTGTGCCGCTTGCAAAGATAAATAGGGACCTTAAGCTGCAGGACGGCAACAACGACGACGACGGCAACCATGCAATAGCAATAATTGCGCTATTCAATGTATACTCGTTGGAATGTACGAAATAATGTGCATCATTACCGTCTTATGCTGAAAGTAAGACGTCAAATGTCCTATTTTTACGTACTAAAGAGAACGGCTACGCCAAAAGCTTACCTTTGCTGATTTTCGTTATAAGTAAAGCGCTCCCAAAAGACGTCATTTCACTCCAAAACGGGAATGCTCATTGAATAAAATACTAGGTAAACACGAAATAATAATACAATAGAAGGTCGAAGCGCCTCAAGGTCGAAGCGTCGCCCAAGTTAATTGCCGTCCTGCAGCTTAAGGTCGCTAATAACATTTGAAAAAACGTAAAAAAAAAACTCTCTCTCCGTTATTTATTAGATTCACTTTTCTTAAAAATGCTAAAACAAATTATTCGCCTTAGGAAAAAACTCGGAATATCTAATTTATAGAGTGAATTCGCAAAGATTCTACAAAACACCTTGGCTGAAAAATTCAGAAAATTCAAGCCGTAATAAATCATATTTCGTAAAAGAAAGTAATTTATTACTCGGGCTACCTGCAAGGTAGACCGAGTCTAAGTTTCGGTTTTCTATCTATCTATCTATCTATCGACGTTGTCGAAAGTGTGTAAGCCTGCGCTGCTCGGCGGTCTGCGGTGTTCCCCTGCAAGTATGAAAACGAGGCGGGTTACCACAAGTCATGTGACTTGCTTTGCTTTTCGAAGGTTCTGTAGGTCTTTTTCCTTTTGCTTATCTTGCTAGCTGCTTCTCGTGCTTTATCTTGAAACCTTATTGGAAAGTAATGGCGACTTGCTGTTCTGCTGAGGCGCTCAAAATACATACAAAAGCACACGCCGTTCGCGGTAGACCCACTCTAAAAGATGTCGAGCGTCAGTTTCGAAACGGGTCGTTCCGCGAACTCAAAACCCAAAAGAATACCAGAAAGAATAATACTCAAAGCAATGCCAAATATATTCAAAGCAATACCAAAGAAACTCAAACGAATACAAAGTCAAATGTACTCAAAGTTACTCAAAGACACTCGAACG